AGCACTCTAGCCAGTCACAGTCAAAATGTTATAATACCTGGTTGTGAAAGTGAATCACCTGGTCATACCAGGAAGCAGGCGAGCTATATATTGTGTTCCAGTAAAGAAATATACTCACTTCCACAAGCACCTGAACTGTGCAGAAGGTATCTCCTATATTCGTGGAAATGAAAGGTAATGCTTATATCTATTTTCTGCTTATTTAAGTATGGTGATTATTTGGTGGTTTTAAAATAAAGTCTGCTATTTTTGAACTGCCAGGATAATTACTAAAATATACTGTCCTGATGGTGTTATTGGAATGGAGTTAACATAGTAAAACAGCACATAGATAAGGGATAAAATAAGATACATATTGCAATTTAAATTCCTATTTGCATCCTGTTGGTTTGAGCAGTATTCTGTTTAAGGAACCGAGTCTGTCTCCTTACCATATCTTTAAACGTTTTTTCACTAGTTGGATATTACCTAGTACAGAGTATCTGCAAGTAAAATAAAGCCTGTGCAGTGATATACATTAACGTTAAGAAAAATAAAAAATGAATTTGACTGCCATTTTGCAGAGAAAAATAGAGCTTTACTACATCCATATGAGGGGATGCTATGCAAGGAGAAGGCAGGACTTTCCTCACTGTGGCCTTCCTCAGGAGATGTAGACATGTCTAAGTGTCTTAGGATCACGTATCTTGTCACCCAGAACTGGGATGCCAGTGGTGACTTTGCAACTTTCATAAACAATGGACAAAATGCACACTGATATGTTTTTCTTAGAATATTTTAGAATGAATATTGCCACCACGTTGAAGGAGCATTCCCAGCCTTATTTGCACAATAGGGCTATTTTCAATTTCAGCCACTTGAGGTTATTTTCACATTATTCATGCCAAGTCATTTGTTTTGGATGCAAAAGTCAGGAGCATGTGAAAACGAGTTACTGCTGCTGCTTGGCTAGCTGCACATATTGCTCTGTACCTCACATTATAAATGTTATTTTCAACACAATACAAATGTATGCCTGCTTGATATAGTTGCGGGCAGCTTAAAACTTACCAAAACATCAATTAATTTCCCAGGTCAAATCGAATGGGAAAAATCATTTTTAAAGTCGCTAAGTACCTCTCTTTAATCTATACTGGAAACAGAGATTACATTTCGAATGAGAAAGGAAACTCTAGGGTCTTGATACACGTTAGGCTGTGAGCTGCACAAATGTTGATGGGAGTTAGTGCTAACTTGAGTTCTGGAGCAATCACATCCTTAGTCTAGAAATGGTCTCTGCAGTCCCCCTCCTATACAGATGTGATTTGCCACAAGAGGCCTGGTGAGCAGGGGCAGGACTCGGAGCTGGAGCTGCGAGTTTGCACTATAGGGCTGGTGAGCCATGGCAGGCTACTATGCCTGCTCTGGGGGTGGGGGTGTGAGAGCTCCTGAGATACTGGAGACCTTCAGCAAGGTGGCACATCTGTTGGGAGTGGCTACATCTTCATGGAATAGGAGCTGGGTAGTACAGATCAGAGATAATCCTGCCCTGGAGTGGTGTAACTTTGAGCTGCATAATGAGTATTAAAATCACTTTAAGGTGTTATCGTATGGACAATCCAGGGGGTAAGAGCTCCAGTAGCTGCCCAAAATTACTGTGTAACACTTCCCTTAGTAAAAATCTATATGAGTAGTAAGCTCATATAAGTAAAATATAAAATATATATTTTATCTATATGATAAAAGTAATACGCACTTATTAGTGTGCATTACTAGAAAAAAAAAGTACCTAGAGATCAGCATTGGGCAAAGGAATAGTAATACATATAAGAACTTTGGGTCAAATACTTAGGTAGTACAAGTCAGTATAGTTGCATTGACTTCAATGGAGCTTCACCAGTTCAAACCAGTTGAATACATAGTTCACTGTAAGGAAGCCATGCATTGGCAAAAGACACAACTGCTAGCTACACTGCATGAACATATCTGTGTCTGAATTTTGTCTCTGCAGAAGACACTTGAGTCTTTCTTTGCAAAAAAAAAAAGAACAAGAAGAAAAGGCTAAACCATTCACTCATTGGCTTGTCAAGTTTCTTAACAGTTCTCACACCTGCCTTGTATAGTAACTGGCAGAAAGCATTTTATTTACCCGAAAAGTCAAACAGGCAGGAATTATGATGGCAGGACACCGAATAGACCTAATCTTTAGCCAATTCTAATGCACGTAGCACCAGTTGGGTGTTGGAAATTACCAGCTGCGTTCAGTGATATATACACAGCGTTGTAAGGAGCATGGCTCCTGCTTCACCAGCAACAAAAGTGTAGTCTCTTCTTCCCCTTTCTTGCCAATCAACCTGATCTCTTTGAAGATGACTTATGCAAACGCCTTTTCAGTGGGTAGCTATACAAAGTCACTGATGCATAATAAGCAAATGTAGGCAAACTCTACTACCATTTACCCAGGAATAAACTAAACTAAAATCAGTACCCTCCCCCTGTCCTTCAAAATCGAACATAAACCTAAGCTAATAATAACTCTGTCTGGCATCATACCCTTAAGCTGTTTTACACCAGGGCTTGGGCAGATTGGCAACAGAACTGAATTCCAGCCCAAGCATGTGCCGAAGGCAGTTAAACCACAGATACTGACTGCCCAAATCTATAAACTGTTGCAAAACACCATGACAAAATGAGAGGATCCCCTGATATAACCAGGTCCTGGTCTCCCACAGATTAAAAAAAATATATATAGAATTAAGCACCCATGGCATGTAAAAGCCAACTTTAATGTGTTCTAAGTGATCTTAACTTGCATTAACACAAAACTCTTGGTTCAGAGGTGATATCTTTTATTAGACCAATGAAAAAGGAGCATTTTTTTTTGCAGGCTTTTGGGGGTGCACACCTTTCTTAAGGCTGAGGAGAAATCAACGTTTGTAAAAGTCTTCTTATATAGAAAGTTAACTCCATTTTGCACAGGGGAAGTTGAGGCTGGACCAACACAGCTACAAAATAGGGTGGCCATCATAGAGGACAGTCCAGTTGTCCTATGTCCTCTATTGATACATAACCAGGCACTTTTATGTCGTCTATTTTTGTCTTTCAAGAGAAAAATACAGCACATAAAGGCATTGGTTTTCGAATCAATAGAGGACAGAGGACAGAGTAGCAGAAAACGGGAATGTTCTCTCTGATGGCCACCCCACAGCACAATAGATTCCTAACTTGCATTGACAGTACAGCTCAAATTTACAACAGGACATTTTTTGCAAAATTGTGCATCATGTATAGCATTGTGACCCCAGATCTAGGTCCCCTTCAGCCTGAGGGAATTGTAATTCACATTATCCCAGTTCCTAGAAGAGTAGGTACCTTGGAGACCATAGCCATTAAGGTGTACCCCAGCCTGGGTGGGGTTCCCACACACCTCCTTTTACAGAATGGGCTTCTGTTCAGCATATAGCTTGGCCCTGCATGCTAGATCAAATGCACAGGTTGGTGTGGGGCTGATCTGTTTAAGCAGGGTGTTGTAGGACCTGACCAAAGCCAGACCAAAACTTTGCAGGACCACACCAAAATTTGCAGGGTCAGAGCAGTGTGCACATAGCCAGCAAGCCGTGATGCAGGCCCAAACCATGTGCACAGGGCTAGACAAAGGCAGTACTGGTCCAATCCAGATGTGCAGGGCCAAGCAGGGTTGCTGTGGGACCCAATCTATCCAAGCCTCTGAAGGTGGGCAGAGGCTGTGTAGAGCTTGATCCCAGTATGGAGGGCAATCACAGGGCTAGATTCTGGGGCAAGGGGCCTGATCCAGCCAATGGACTGCCCCTGCACAACTCATCTGGCCCACAGGCCCAAAAGATTTAGCACCACTATGATCAGCCACCAACACATTTAATATTATTGAGAACGGAGTAACGGAAAATGAGAATGTTCCTTCCTAAGTATGCTCCAGGGAGCATTCTTGCTCATGACTACCCAATCTCTGGCAAAGCATAGTTCTTAATTTCCCTTACATACAAATTTCTACCTCTCTTCTTTCAGTTATAAATTGAACAAAAACTAAGAGCAAAATACAAACTACTTTTGCACTGGCTGCAAACACAGATGCCCAGCATCAGCAGCAGAAAGTCTGCTGGGAAGGCAGCTGTGATAGAACAACATGACTTCAGCTTTCTCTCCATGTGGGGCTGGATGTAATGGGGTAGTACAGGCCAATAAGTGGGCTGGAAGCTGGGGTGGCAAAGGTGAGCCCTGGCTGTGCTGGTTCAGTTCATGCCTTCATCAGTTTTCTTCATCTGAAAGTTCTTATGGATAAACAGAACCGACAATTGTCAGCTCATAATGAAAGCTGCAAGACATGGTGGCAGTAGTAAGATCACTATGGACCTACTCAAATTGTGATTTTTGCGGATTTTGCAGAAATCACGAAATCCAGCAATGCCTGCAAAATCTACAAGGGAAAAAAATTCCTTACTTAAAATGAAATGCTGGTCCCAAGAGGGGTGGGAGCCATCTGATGAACAGCCCTCATAACCAATTCACAGCAAGAGGTGGAGCCACTGGATCTCTTCAGCCAATCAGAGTCATGGGGGGCGTCCTGCTGCGATCAACCCAGAAAAACTGTGGCCAGCCCCATGATTTCCATGCATAATCAGCCAGCTTCCTCCTCTGTTTGGGTAGACCCCTAATGATAACTGTCTTCCCTCCAGGTAACATCCTCCAGAGGAATTCCTGTGTAAGAAGAAATCAGTATCTAGATTTAATCCTCCCCACCCCACTGCTGAAAAAATACAATAGTGTAAGGCCATATACAGAGAACCATTGGACATTGTTTGTAGTAGCAGAAATATTTTTTATAAATGAGGGTTTTTTTCCTCTTACATCAAAAACTGGGGAATCTTTCTAGCTACTTGCTTGAAAAAAAAAACATGGCAATATATGTTTGTTATAATGCATGTTTAAGTAAATTAAAGCTACCAATAGAATATGTAACTAAAGACACTGTTCTTCACTTTTAGGAATGATTCTGCTCACTACGTTCCTGTGCCTTACAGCTGTGCTGCAGGAATCTTCTGGAGTGGTAGGGCCTTCATACTGTATACCTAGATTTACACAAAGAATGTTTAACTCAAAACATAACATTTCTTTTTGAGATGGAGTCATTTTTTAAGTGACTAATAGTCTAATATTTAGGATTTTGTACGTATATTTATTATTTTTTTTTATAACAATGAGATAAAGCCAAAAAAACTAATACAATATAAACTAATAAGTAAAATACAATAAGACAGTAAAATCAAAGTATTATAAAATATATAATTAAACATATATACTACAAATTTAATAAAAACTAGGGGAAGGGGAGAGCCTGAAATAAGCAACCAATGAACAAATATCCATAAACATCTAAAGGATAGCAAACCACAAACAAATCAATTTATAAACTTTACAGACTATTCATATTGCCTCATATTTCTTCATTTTGAGCCCAGTTATGTCTACTTGCACATGTAATTCTTCCATTAACACAAAATATATAAGTTCTTTTAACCATTATGAGAATTAAGGTATTCTGAAAGTTTTCCATTTCCTTAAAATTACCCTTTTCGCCACGAAAAGTATTATAGCTAGCCATTTTTTTCCCAGGCACACACAATGGTAATGAATCCATAATCCTCAATATGCATAAATCTGGTGATGCTACCAAGCTATTTTTAAGTATTTTCAAAAGTGTGACACAGATGCTAAAACAAAAACTAATAATCTTAGGACAAAAGAATAAAATATGACTAAGAGACCCAACCTGGCTTCCAGATCTCCAGTCATAGTCATCTAGCCTTGCTTTAAATAATCTTTCTGGCATCCAATAAAGCCACTTAAGAGCTTGTTCTTAAAAAAAAACTTAAATGCAATAAATTAGATGTTTTCAAAAGTGATTTCCAAAACCTATCCCATTGCTCAACTGTTAATATAGTGGATTCCACTTCATAGAGTCAGTGGTCAATAGCCAGTTATAAAATTTTTATAGCATCTCTAGAGAATCTCTGACTAGCCCGTTATGTTGATGTTTATTGGACTCAGTTTTTAAACTCAATTTTAATTGTCTATATTCATGTTCTCATAAAATATTAACCTGAGTTCTAGCATTCAGTTCAAATGAAACCATTGTTCCTTGCACATGCCCTGGCAATATCCAATTCCTCTTGTTGATTTTGTTTAATTCAACCTTGTCTATATAACATTTTTTGGTATGGTCGCAACTAGACTCCCTTGAAGTTTTTCTGTTTGAGATCTGCAGCACCTGTTAAATAGTTCATCTTGTTATACTGAGGGATCTACTGAAATCACAGTTTTGTGGATTTTGCTAAATTCAGCATTGCCCATGAAATCCATGAAATCTGTGGGGAAAAAACTTACTGAAAATAAAATTTTGGATCCCCAGAGGGAACTAGCAGCCCTCACCATATTGAGGCCTAGCTGCACAGCCCATGGGGGGAAGTGGGGTGGGGAGGATGCTCACAAGACAGGCAGGCCAAGATGACTGCTGCCCCTGCAGCTCACCGTTGACTAGCTGCAAGGGCTGTTCATCATACAGCCCCACCCCACTCCACCAATCACCAGTGAGGGATAGGGCCACATGATGGACAGACCTCTCAGCCAATCAGCAGTGAAGGGCAGGGCAGTATGATGGACAGTCTTTGCAGCCAATCAGCAACAAGGGGTGGGGACACCATAGGCCCTCAGCCAATCAAAGGTATGGGGGCGGGATAACATGTTCACCCAGTGAAAATGGCTTCTGGACCCACATTCCCCCCACAAAATTTCCTGGCAACCTCCTTGAGTTTAATAGGTTCAGTGGGTCCCTGTAGTTAAAACAGAGCTTTCCAAGTGCAGTCCAGTGCTTTGGGATGTGTTCCCTTCCACACTTGCTGCACACCAGTCTTTTTGCTCTCCCTCTCATTGGTTTTCCTTGCTAATGGTAAACTGTACCCTGCAAGGTAGCTATTTTTGGCCACATTCCTTCATGTCTATTGCTTGGATGACCCCATTCAGTTCATTGCTGAAAAAATGAGGGCTATTTAATTTGGAAAGGGAAGACTGAAGGGGGTTTTGAAAACAGTCTTCAAATACCAGAAGAGCAACTGTAGAGAGAATGGAGATGGACTATTCTCAGTGTCAATAGGAGACAGAACTCAAGCTGCAGAAGGGGAAATTTAGGCTGGAGATTAGGAGGAACTTCCTGATGATGAGCGCAGCCAAGCATTGGAACAGACTACCTAGAGAAGCCATTTAGCTGTTACGGTATCTGACCTTGGATAGGGGGCTAGATTAGATGACCTGGTGAGGTCCATTCCAGCTATACTTTCCTAGGATCCTATGTTTTAGTAATAATATAAATAATGAGAGAAATAACAAACACATTTATAGTGCGCCTTTCAAGGAAGACAAATTAGAGGTATAGGCGGGAAAAAAAAAACCATATCTGTGACACTTGATCAGTGACTCCCAGTTAGGACGCTATGGCAACCTGGGGTGCCATGAGACCCTTCAATGGGTGCCATGAGTTGTCAAGAGATAAGCAGATAGCCACAGGCTGAGACTTGTTCCTTCATGGCTGATCCTCCACCCCCATTTCCCAGTCTATCTACAAGGAAGTAAGCACTGGACATGTCTACATGAGACACTACTGTGCAGTAGCATTGGTGGGCACTAACCATGTTGCGATGCAACTGTTCGTTAGTAACAAGATACTGTGCAGTAGCTCATAGCTGCTGGCAGTAGCTCACTGCAACTGCACTGTAGCATCTGAAAAAAAAAAAAAAAACCTGCAGAAATGGTGCTGTGCAATAATGCCAGTTACTGTGCTGTGAACAACAACTGCGCAATCCAACAACGTATAAGTTATCTTTTGAAATGGAGTGCCACTCAATTCACAAACATTATAGAGGCATCTCTTGAGTTCAAAAAGTGTGACAACAACTGGCTTAGGTGGTAAGAATTTGTATAAACACAGGATTTTAATGAAAACATTTTTTGACCTTACCTTCAATATGCCAAAAAAAATCTCTAACAAACTTTGTGTTTTGCCTGTATTTTCAGAGAAGTGAAAGGAGTCATCATAATTCATTAGAGCAAGAATTTCCAAAGAAGTGAAAGATACAATAAAGATTTCTACATAGCTCTAAATAGAGGTTTAAAAATGACATTGCTACACGTAGCACAATTTTTTGTGTGTGTTTCCAACTTTCCTGGTGCAAAGAGGTATCATAGTATCATAGTACTTAGGGTTGGAAGGGACCTAAGCAGATCATCAGGTCTGACCCCCTCCCCTGGGCAGGAATGGGTGCTGGGGTCATATCACCCCAGCCAATACCTGTCCAGCCTCCTCTTGAAGACCCCCAAGGTAGGAGAGACTTGTCTGTGACTGGGATTCTATAGTATATTGACAAAAACAGCAATAATGATCAATATGAATGTAAATTCAGTGTAGTATTCTTCCCAAGATCTGGTGGCATAAGTCCACAACGGCTATAAGCAACAATAACAACAGCAACATTAATAATATACAGAAATGCACGCCAACAGACAGAAAATTCTAATAAAAATAAATCTAACATTTCATGAATTAATTATGTTTATAAAGCCACACGTGTGGATCATTTCCTAAGTTTCCTTGTAAAATATTTGAGAATCCTACCATCAAATACAAAAACAATGAGAATAATAATTGTATTTTCTTTCCATTTAGGAACTTGTGCCAGGTTATGATGCTCTTGCAACTACAAATGTACAACAACAAACGTTGATTGTGAACAAACACAACACCCTCAGGAGACAAGTGAAGCCCTCTGCTAGCAACATGCTGAGGATGGTAAAATACATTTTGCAATGCAATTTATAAAAAAATATAGAGCCTGTCAATGACATTAGAAGACCTGCAACGTCACAGTATATCACTGTGCAAAAACACACAATAGGAGTCCTTTCAAATGAAAGGAACCCTGAAGGGTCAGGACAGAAATTAAACATAAATGGTTTAAGCGTTCAGAAACTCATTCAAATCTGTAACACAGCAGAAGTTCATTGGGCATAAACTCTTCATTGCTCATAAACCTCTTTCAAAATGGCCAAACCTGACTTAAGATAGACATGGATGTAGTATCAAAATTAACTGATTTAAGTTAAATCGGTTCATTAAAATTCTGACACAGATCCCATCCAGATTCAAGTTAACTCACAGTCCCCTGGCATCCCAGGATGCTTTTTACCTCCCCTGCAAGATCCCCCTTGCAGGGCAGAAGGGCTGGCCTAGACCCAAGCTGTCTGCTTCAGCAGAACAAGGAGCTGTGCTCTAGCACCCTCTGGCTTCTGGCGTGGGCCACTGCAGGCATGTGGCTGCATTTCTGGAACCAAAAGTGAATGTCTGTTCACTTGCTTATCAGTTCATTCTTTGCAGTTTACGCTAATCTGCAGAGATTGAATCAACTCAGCCTCAGGCTTTTTGAGTGATTGTACTTAGCCTAAATGAAAGAGAAGGAGCTGTGAAAAGGCCTTTTTTAAAAACTGAAACTGTGATTTCCAAGTGTACATCCTCTAGTATGGATTTGTGGCAGTAAGTAACTGACTGGCTAATATTTTACCTTTCATTAAGGAATGGAATGCTGCAGCACAAGCAAATGCTAAAAGATGGGCAAATGAATGTACTTTACTTCACAGTCCTACAAGTAAAAGAACAACTAGTAAGTAAAAGTATCAATATCACCTGACATGAACATTTTTTCAAACAATATAACCCTTTTCACAGTTAGTGGGAAATCATTTATTACACCAAATGAATAGCATCTTCTGTTCTGGAATATAATGGACTAATACATTTTGTGGTAAAACTTCACAATATTCAGTTAGGCTTCTTTTAGAGAGATAGGATTTCAGCACTAAACAATCACAAACAACGACAAAGAAGTGTTCATGGAATGTTTTTTGCACAGTTTTTGTCCATAATGCAGCTGGTCAAAATTTTTCAATTTTTGGGAAAAAGGAAAAAAATATTTTTTTTAAATATAGTCTTTATTCCTACTTCCATTTCTCCACCATGCCCCTTTCCCTTCCTCCTCCTCCCTCCCCTCCCACCCCCCAGCAACCAAACAAGCATAATAATATAAAAAATACTATTAGGTATTAGGTTAGGCCCTTTTCACCTTCAGAGGAATTAGTCCTGATTTAACAATCTCTGCAAGAAGGCCTATATTTATTGCATTGTTCATAAGGAAGACCAGGGTGAATGAACACATACCTGAAATCTTGGTTCAGTTTATGGAAGAACCAGATTTCCTGGCGTGAGTATAAAACTCTTCCAAACATAATGGACAATGATCCAGGATACAAAGTCATAGAGCATTTCTATTTTAAGGGTCTGGTTTCTCTGAACAAAGGTTCTTTTCAAATGCATGTTTCTTGCTCTTTCTCATGCCATTTTCTCCAGGGTTTTTGAATGGTTTTCCTTTCATTTTCAGCTACAGCCTGTGGTGAAAATCTCTACATGTCAACTGCCCCACATGGATGGTCAGATGTCATTCAGGCCTGGTATAATGAAACGAAAAACTTTAAGTATGGCAGTGGGCCAAAATATACAGGAGCAATGATAGGCCATTATACTCAGGTAGGAGACATATAGCTTAGTACAACCTGATCTTTACTCATACAGCTGTACAATGTCACTAAGGCAGTGGGCAGCAAAATGTGGCCTGGGGGCCAGATGCGGCCTGCCACACCATTCTATCTGGCCCACGAGGCCCCTAAAAATTTTAGAAAAGTAATATTTATCTACCCCTGGCTACCTGTCATGTGGCCCTCAATCGTTTGCAAAACTCAGTAAGCGCCCCCTGCCCAAAATAATTGCCCGCCCCTGCACTAAGGGCTCGAGCTCATCATTGGCACTGATTCTTCCACTAGGTGCTCCAGCGTCTAAAAGTTAATCATCTTGCTTCAGGTGGGTGATCACAATTGTCAGGGTCATTTAGACAAGTTAGGGTGCTTGTATGCGTTAATTTTTTTTGTGTGGTTGGTTCCCTAAAAGCACTCTACAACCTGGACATAAAACACGTGCACAGCTACAGAGCACTTTTAAAATAACTGATGGAGCAAAAAATTAAGCCTCGTGAAATCAGCTCTTAGCTGAAGGCATTATAGAACAGAGCATCAAGGTTTACATGTTAACATCTTTGTGGGGCTGGGCAGGTGCTCACACCAGTGAACATTGATTCTGACCATCCTCACAGGAGATAACATTTTACTTTGTGGTTCCTGAAGCTTGTTCAACAACTTGAGCAAATTTTTAGAAAAACATCCAGGGTTGATTTAAAGTATCCACATAATAAAGAATCTGTTTTGCTATTTGATTTTCATTTGAGTTTCACTTCTGTTACCTCCTGTATGTCTTTCTACAAAATGGGGTGTATAACAGCATATAATTTTTCTGGTTTCTTTCCTACTTGATGTGACATATTTTCCTATATTCCATAATAAAAAAAAAACCCCCACGCCCATAACTTGGCCTCCTATTAACCCTTTAATTAATATATTTTTATATATATATATATATATATATTATCGCTATAAGCCCCTATCGTATTCTAACAACTTGTTTTTAAACCTCCAGGTGGTTTGGTATAAATCTTACCAGATTGGATGTGCAGTGGCTTTCTGTCCTCAGAAAAAATTCAAGTACTATTACGTTTGCCACTACTGCCCTGCGTACGTATTATCTATGGATTTAATTGATGGTTGGCATGCCTTATTGTTTTCATTTATCTGTATGACGCAGGAATAGTTCAATAATACCTTGCATCATTACATCTAAGTGCAATTATAGTTAGAGGAGCAATTATGAAATAATATGTGAAAATACACACAGAATCATAGAGTAATAAAAAAAATTGGATTGTAAGGGACCCTGAGAAATCGTCTAGCTCACTGATTCTCAACCAGGGTGGCATAGGCTTGACATCCTTTCAAGGGTGCTGCAGGGTGCCAGGCAATATTAGCACTGATAGTTGTGCTAACATAATTCAAGCGATAAACCCAGAGATTTCAAATCAGAATCCATAACATCAAAAACAGTCTGCCCTGCTGTGGGCTTTCTATTAATCTTTCATAATCAAAAAACTAGTGAAAATGAAGAGCTTGCATTTTCAAAAGGGTGTCTCAAATCTAACATGAGCTGCTTTGAGTCTAAGATAGGGTATTCTTTTAGCCTACAATTGTTGAGAACCACATACCTAGTCCAACACCCGGCTCCAGGCAGAACTGTCCCTGACTGAACCACCCGACTCATACTTTTCTAACCTGAGAAAACCATTAAAACATCAGTAAGTTCACATCAGGTTTGCTTTACTTATAAATCCAAATATTTACTCTTCTTGCTTGGTTAAGGACAGAGTAGTTGCTCCCAGGAGTAAGCTCACATCTTACAAATGAAAGTTTGGAGTAAGTTTTCTCAGAGGACAGTTTTTCCTCTGAAGCAGTTGTTCCAAGCCAATATTTGAGGCCTTCTTACAGGAAACCACCTAAGTACACGCATGAGATGGAGTCAGTAATCTAGTCAACAATAAAGGTAACGGTTCATTCAAAGCAAACCACAGGTGTGGACACATGCCTTTTGTTAACTCAGATACTCACATTATGATATTTCAAAGGAGAAGTTTGATGTGTATAGCCAGGGTGCATGCAAATGAAAGAGAATGGGTATAAAAAAACAGTGATTTTATATTTTGTTCTTTTGAATTTTACCGTTTCAGAGGGAACATTGTAGGCTTAAGTAACAGACCTTACAAATCAGGACCACCATGTGGAGACTGCCCTAAAGCTTGTGACCAGGGACTATGCAGTAAGTTTTGAAAGCTCAATGTCTTAAAGTGACAAAATTATTGCTTACGAGCAAAGTGTTTACTTCCCATAAATGGTGGCTAAGAGAGATCTGATGTAGCTATTGCCCTGTTCTCCTCTTAAGCTCCTCTGCATTGCTTCTGCACCCTAGGGTGCTGTGAGATCCTTCTAAGGGTGCTGTGGCATGCTGCACTGTTAGGTGGGCAAACACCTACACATAATTCACAACATAAACCTAGAGATATCAAATAGGGATCCGTAGTGTCAAACACATTCTAACCTGTTGTGGTCTTTCTTAGTTCATTGCAAAGAAAGAATTGCTCTATTATTTTCCATAGTCAAGGAAGCTAAGAGCTGGCATTTTCCAAGGGGTTCCCTGAGTCTAAACAAGTTTAGAGCACTTCTCTAAATTCACAGTGAGCTACTGAACTCTTAGACAGCCGAGTGCAATGAGTGTGTACAAACCCAGTGCAATAGGTGCCCATTTTTATTTTTGCCAGGGGTGCCTAAGATGCAGGAGTGAGTTTTGCCTCCTGCTCTACATGACAGGGTGCAAGGATGGGCATAGACGTAAAGGAAGTACAAAAATCCCTCGTGCCACCTTCGTCCCTTTCACAGTTTAGAATGGCCAGGTATCTCATAGGATCATAGGAAAGTAGGGCTAGAAAAGACATCACAAGGTCATGTAGTCCAACACCCTGTTCAAGGCAAGATCATCCCTCACTAAACCATTCCAGCCAAGTGTCTAATATAATGATCCTGTAACAGAATGAATTACACTGGTAAATCTGGCTGCCTTATTCTTGGGATGAAGAGTCTAATGGGAAATGAAAGGACAACACTCTGGTCTTGGGTCATCCCAATAAGCCCTAGCTCAACACCTTAGTTCCCCATTTTGCAATGGCTTTTATTTAATAGGAGGTGGGAGGTCTTTCACTTAATGTGACAACAGCTTGTGAACTTACTGAATAATACTTCTGTATGCAATTAGACTTTGTGAACACTCAAGGGGGGAAATGAAATCATTCAGGGAAATGTGCAAAGAAGAAAATAGTTTAGGGTTGGTCTGTTTGGGTTTTTTTTTCATCTTAGTAATGTTTAATTTATTCTCTGTGTTATTTTCAGCCAATCCTTGCAAGCATACAGATAAGTACTCAAACTGTCCAGATCTGGTAAAGAAGCATGGATGTACTAAATATGATTTGACCAAGAAAAATTGTGTTGCTTCCTGCCAATGCACCACTGAAATCAAATAAAAAGTTTGATTAATCTATTTAAGGAAATTCATCTGTAGACAACATTGTTTTTTACAAAGCTGAAGTCCATGTGCCAGGCTTTATGAATGCAGCCTTTCTGATTTTCATGGGGTAACTCATATGAGTAAAGGCTAAGGATAGCGGCAGACAAAGTTCTTTGGGTAGATGTGTTATCTTTTATTAGACCAACTAAATATTTTAAAAAATCATTCTTTGCAAGCTTCTTCAGGTATAGGGAAGGGCACTTGTGCCTAACAGATTGCAAAGAACATTTTTTTTCAACTATTTAGTTGGTCCAATAAAAAAATATCACATCTACCCAAAGAACCTTGTCTGCTTACATTCTTAGACCAACATGGCTACAACCCACAGCCCTACAGCATAGAGGCCTTCACGTACATGTTCTAGCTTGATTAAATTTCTTTCTTGAAAAATTGTAGCATATATTTATTCCTTGACTGAAAATTGGCATGTTGTGCACTATGCTTGCATGACATTTGGTGACTCAGATATTTCTTTTCTATCAATATCAACATTATCTTCTACCAAATCCAAATACCTTTTGAAATGCTATATAAAGGACTGTCCTGCAAAAATATATTTGTCTAGGTCTTGTCCCTCCTAATAACCCCATTCATTTCAGTAGTTGAGATACCACCATCTACATTCACATTGAAAATCAACTGTCTCCTCAAATAGCCCCAAATAGATGTAATTGAAGTAATTCAAGGTGTAAAGATCTACTTAGTGGGTGCATCTACATGAGCTGTTTCTTACAGTTGCCTAATTAGCTCCACAGTTAAAATCTCATGTATACACATGCAACGCTATTAGACCACAGGAAACTAATTAATTTTGCAGCAAATAGTACTTGTAAGTACTAGTAAGTACAAGTGCAAGTATTTACAAGTACTATCCCACTACAGAGTTCCACTTCCTTGGAGTCTCAGAACAGCAGAGATTTCCAATGCCTGAAGAAGGGTGATTGCACCAAAAGCTTGCTAAGAACTTTTCTCCAACTACTCAGATGGTTTAATAAAAGATATCACATCTACTCAAAGAACCTTGCCTGCCTACATCCTTTGACCAACACAGCTGCAACCAAAAACCCAATCCCAATACAGAGTTATTTACTGCGCAGCAATGCACATGTAATCGCTGACCCAGGAGTAAATTGCTCCCAGTCAGCCCAACCAACAGGAGGCCACACTCCTGTCTGATGCCTAGCCACATGGCTTGTCAGCTTCAGGAGCCTTGTGGTCCAGCCAGTTCCTCTGCTGCCCAACACAGCCACCTGCTGCCCAGGCCTCACCCCCTGTGCCACTCTGCCAGCCTGAGGTTGCCCCCTGGACTCTAGGCCACACTGCCAGCTGGAGCCTGTGGCTAACCCCCTATCACCTGGCAGCCTGGGGTTGACTCACGAGCAGCTATGATCAAAGCCTGGAGCTGCTGCAGGCAGGGCAGAACAGGACAGGAGCAGTCCGGGTGTAAACTGTTCTACCCTGCTCTATTCCTTGCTGTCCTGAGCACATGTGTAGACACTGTGCCTGGAAGTAATTTACTGCAGAGCAATTTGTTCCACAGTTTATTCAGTTGCCTTACTTGAACATGTAGATGTGCCTAGTGGGAAAAAAGTAGCAGAGCTGTTGCTACTAGCACTTTCCAGAAATAAATTCCGCCTCCCTTTTGCTTACATCCAGTGGATACCTTATTCTGCAAATAGCACCACGTTCTCAGTAACCTAAGGTGTTCCATTGCAGCACATGGAAACCAATGGGTTTATTCATGGATGGGGATCCTCCTGATCATGAGAAAGTGTGACAATATGTGGCTCTCGGTAAAAGAAAAAAAAAACCTGTTAGAGAAGAGGGCTTGCTGAATCTATTCATGTTGGTAACTAGTACTAAAGAATGTAAGAATCATGGGACAAAGGCCAAAATCAGAATTTTTTTTTTTTTAATGAGAAATGGTGAGCTATTATCTGAATTACTTTTCAAATATTTCCCATGTCTGTATTACTGATTAAACTATACGTTCAATGCTAACCAGTTTGCTTTGGCTTTTATTCATAGTGATATGCCTAATCTGTTTCCTCTCCAGCTTCCACAATGCATAAGCCCTTATCAGAATTCTTTGTCCTAGTAGCTTTTGTGCTGCAAGCAAGTGCTTGATCGATATCCCTGAAGACACTGCAAAAAGCCTATGCCATAGAGTTCTATTTTGAAAAGGTGAAATTTTTTTTCTGATAGAAAAAGCCAAATAGTGAAACACTCAGGTAGCCCATACTACTTCAAGTGATTTTAAAAATTCAGAAGGAATAAAAGTAGTCTTCTTTCCTCATTCTCGAATTCAGTCAGGCACATACTTGGTTTCCTTTCAACTCCCTTGCACAGAGAATGAGATTTTTTAGAAATAATATACAGTATCTACTTCTCTGACCTGTGGGCAAAAGATGTTGTATTCTGTATTCAGTAAAGGGAGTGGAAAAATATGAATCCATACTTCCTATAGCATTCTTTCACTGTTAGGATTAGTTCAATTCACCCACATATGCCCTGTCTATCAGGGCACTTCAGCAAGGATAAGTCATCAGAGCATTTACATATACACTTAACTTGAAATATGTGCCTGTGTCTTTTTAGTTCTCTTAGGATTTATGCAAATGATAACAGATAAAGCACATGATTTAGGCCACATCCAGAGAGTTACCCTAGATACCTTAAAAATGGGACTCAAGTAAAAGTTAGACTCTTAATTTATTTATGTTCTAAAGGATCTGGAAAACCTCTCCTCAGTGGCCATAAATCTATAAACATCTAAATTAATTTGGTATCTACGTGCTGAGCAGTAGTGCCATAGACATCTTAATTTAATACAGTCACTTTCATTTAAAGACACAGTTGGCGACAGAGAAGGCTGTGAGTCCTACCTTTGGCATAACAGCCTTCTAGGAAGTGGGAGGCTTGATTATTATGCCCTCCTCAGCCTTTTCTACTAATTATAGTCCCTCTCTCCAATTGAGTAACCTCTGAGTAATCAAGACTGGATAGGCCATGAAGCCAGGAGGAATTCTAGCAAGGAGAAGCCTAAGTCCATGGTCTGGAACTTAGAGGACTCAGGTAGGAGAGAGATGACTTGGTCCTTCCATCCCAGGATTTGTTTTATGAATTTTACTTTAGACAAACATTATATAGAAGAGAAAAACTTCAGAGATCAGGGAGCAGAACCCAGCTTTAGCTCCACAAGTGCTCTAAGCACTGCCTTGCAGTGTTTTGCTCCCCATTGCATGCAGTCCCTGTGGCCTATTGGCTTAAAGTCTTGGCTGCCCAGTGGCCCGCTTTCCAGCGATGATGTGGAAGTTGCCTTTCCCTTCCATGTCTAGTCTGCCTCTTTGACATCCCAATGTTTAATACTTCAGAAGTTTTGAGTTCTTTATCAGGACAAAAAGCTGTAAAGTCAGCAGCTCCATACTATCTTTCTCGTCCCATCTGACCCATTCACTTGCATTAGGGGTTGGAAGTTAGAAGAGAGGCCTATAGGTACTGGATTCTGGTACAGGCTAGGTCAAACTTCCTGTGGATACTAAGTATTCAGATTCCTTCCCACCCATCACTTTTCAATAATGTGGTAGTGGTTTTTAAACTTATACACCATGCTGCCTAATGTATATATTGATTAGTCAATGTCTTGTTGGTTCTTAATTCAATATGTTGATTTTCTTCTTTTTTTAAGTGAAACACACACAACTCATTCCAAAGGCCATTATCTAGGTTAGATAATCCAACTCAATGTAACTTATTACCAATTGCATTACATACCATATGCTTTTTGTGCATGTGCACGTGTGTGTAAGCAAACAGACTACACGTAAATAAGTAGCACAGCCAACTGAACTGCAGTTTTCTTTTTTGCATTTCTCAGGAATGATTCTTTGATGGCACACATCTTTGTAAAGTATTTATACAGGTGCAAAATATTTTTAATATTATTCGTATTTGTTTTTTGTACCAAATATGCACAGGCACCTATGAAAGGCAGAAAGGAAAATCAACACATTTTTTCTGACACTGCATAAATATGTTTACAATAAAAAGTTGCATTAAAAAAAAAACATTTATGATAGCTATTCAGATATAATGTTGCAGTGTAAGTAGGGCCAGATGTAATTTTGATGAGGGTTAACTGCTTCAGGTGAACTGAATTGTTTGTATACTAGGATGCTAAAATGTTTTTGCAAGTGCATTTTAAAAAGACTTTTTTTTAGTTTAGGCAGGATTTGTATGGTTTACATATCAGTAGTTATCTTAACGCTATTCCTATTTTGCTGGTTGAGGAGTTTCAAGCTGACATATGTGGCTTTTCAAGTCAAATTTTGAGATTGGAGATTTTCTGATTTTGTAGAAAACAGATGACAAGATGCCCTTGGTTGCATTGCGTTCATGATTCACTTATCTCCGGATTTATCAAGGTTTTATCTGGATCCCCAGGCTTTCTTTCAAAATGCAGGAGTAGCATAGTGTATCCACTGTCAATATTAAAAAAGAAATCTGCTCATTACTAAGGCTCAAATAAAAATATTTAGCGTTAGAGTGATGCTGTAGCCATGATGGCCCAGGACTATATGTGAGAAGCAAGGATGTTTAGGGTTTGATATCTGCCGAGATGCAGGAGTCAGCCCACCTGTATGGGCCTTGTTACATACTACACTGTGAGCTGCTAAAATATTGATTGGCTTGGTGCTAGCTTGCCAAACTGAGTGGCACATCTCTGGGAAGTGGCCACACCTTAATGAAACAGGAACTGGGTTATGCAGATGAAGAGATAATTCTGACCTGGAGTGAGCATTTCCCGCTGACTGGTAAATCCCCTGCCTTGATACTTCTTTTAATAGAATGAGCAGTGGCTTGCACTCTCTAAATAGGCTGGCGTCAGCACACAATGCAGCTTTTCATGTTGAGCATATGCTATGCAAGTGTTGACTTTAGCCCGTCACCACCAATAAAGAACTTTATCTATCTGTCTGTCTGTCTGTCTGTCTGTCCCATTCCCGCATATCTAAGTACCACACGATCAGTAATCTCTTTATTTTTGAACTCTTTATTTTTGTACTCTAGGTGTTAGATCTCAAGAAGGAGGCACCAACCCCTCCAGCCTTTTACCTGACAGGTTTGGGCACTTGTCCATGGAAAAGGAAAGCTAGATTCTTCCCTCCCCCACCCTAAAACACCCCTCATGTACAGCAAGTTTGAACCTCTGTTTCCCAGAAAAAATGCTCTAACCAAAAGGCCATGCCCATGTCTTGAAACTGTCCCACTGGACAACCCAGAGAAGGACATGTAACGGAGAATAAATTTGCCTAATGCTGTTTCTCCAAAGGCTACCAAATGCAGAGTGCAGTGAGACAACATCAAGAGGAGGTCTGGAAGGGGTCTGTGTCAACATCTTTCTCATGGCCTGGGAAGCAGAAGAGTCAAGTTCAAATTTCTTCTGGATCAGAGGAGCCTAGAACCTGGTTCTCGTGACTGAGTTAAAAGGAGGGACAGAAGGGCTTCTCGCCTCTGTTTTACTTCTGACAACTACAGGGCAATTTTATTTCACCAGAAGGAGAAGCAGAACCCAAAACTGTGCTCAACTGCCCAAAAGCTGCAGCTACTTTTGTGCCATTTCAGCAAGTAAAGTGAAAAAGTATCCAGCCCTAGTTTTTGAATCCCAAATGGCCAGTGGGAGGAGTTATGTACCTGTGTACCCAGTTCAGCCAGTATGATAGCTTATCTGGGTGTGGACAATAGATGAATCTTTGGCAACTAAATAGGCTTGCTGGTGAAATATTAGCTGCCTGGGGACTTTGCAGTAATTATGAGAATGAGGTATGAGTTCTTGGAAGTGCTCCTTGTACTTGGGTGTCTAAATTGC